ACTAAACAAGTTCCCAAAATCTAACAGGCACTCTGAGTGAAAACCACAAATCTCACAGCATGATCATAAAATAATTCACTGTTACCCAATACACCATTCAGGAAACACAGAAAACGTCAGAGAATGTCTCCATCTTACAGCTGCAATCAGAGCAACTAACTTTTCACCTGCCTTTATATTAAGAATAAGAATTTGAACTTCAAATAAATATCTATATTATATATGCAATTTGAAAAATATCACCTTTTTCTTGATCACAAGGTATCCAGAAACTGATGTCACCTTTCCCAGACTTGTTTGTGGCCTGCAGTTTTTTCCTTTGGATTTCTCCAACACCATTTCTGATGACTATTCATGAGAAGCTCAATGCAAGCAGCCCCTCTTCTAGCTGACAGCATACTGCAGGTGAAACTTTAGAAGGGATTTGATCAGCTGTGGAACCACACTTTAGTAATTTGACATAATTTATTGGTACCAAACAAGTGTAACTGCTTCAATACAACTGAATATTTTTCAATTTGCCAAATTAAAAGCTGAAGTATAACATTTGAAATATCTTTTGAAATGTATTCAACTTCTCTACCCTCCAAACCAATACTCTGCATGGCAGAGTGAAAAGTTACATTTGATTTAACTATTTTTTAACCCTTTGGGGGATGGGGAAAGACCTCAAAAATTCACCTCAGTTTTTCCTTTCTATAGGCTTTAGTCAACAAGTAACAAAAATCAATTATTTGCATTAACAACTAAATACTAGGGTGAGGGGTTTTTCCCCTCTAATGCTAAAGATAGTCTGAAATTTGCTTTTGAAACTCTGAGGAAGAAAAAGACAGGAAAGACTGAAAAAATATCCCAAAAAAAAACATTTGAAACTGGGGCTTGTTCTATTCTGTAACTCAAAAGCAGATGAGTGTTAGCTCACGTTTCTCTCACATGGTTTTGAGTTACATCCCAGCTACTCCTGTGGTTACATCACACTTACTCATAGTATCTAAAAATTACTGGAGGAATATATGGAAGCCTGGTTTCTTCCATTCTAGTCAGATGGCAAAGGGTGGAAAATGCTAGTAATGCTTTCTGTTGTGCCTCAATGCAACACAACAGGACCAGAGCTGCATGGCTAAACTTCCAGATTGGAGAGCAAGGAGGGTGTATGTCTCTGTCCCATCAGGGACACTCCCCAACACACAGTTCTCTGTTCTGTATAATAGTTGGTCCACAATGGAGAGGAATTACATCAGTGTGTTCCCATGACCTTTAGTGGCCAACATGAGACATGGCAGCCTGGCTACTCAGACATTTATCCAGCCAAGACTGTAGTGGGGTTACCTACATCTCTGAACTCTCAGTGCCTCCAGACACATACCAAAATTACTGGCTGATATTGAAACTCTAAGTCTGAATTAAAAGGTTTAGAGGAGTGGAAGGTAGGTCGTAGGAATAACCTTTCGCTGTTAAGATTAAACTACGCCTACAGTGATATGCAGACTCTATGCTTCTTGTCTCCTAAGAGTGGGAAATAATGCTGTAGATCACAGCAAGTAACATAACAAAGCTGCTGTCAAAAAATATCTGATTTTAATTGAAGTGACACTCCATTATCCAACAGCTCCAGGCAACTCAGCTTAGCCTATTCCTGGGATATGGGCTGTAGGTGGGCACCCTCACTGCATGCTAGTCTGTCTTCTCTGATGAGCCACATCCTGAGCTGCACCTTCTCCTGACCTTTAGGTATTGACAATGAGCCATTAGCAGTTTCTCTCCAGGATGGAAAAGATGGTGCAGTCTGTGTAACATTTCATTTCTGCTTCAAAAAAAATTTAATTCTTGATATCGGGGGGAAACAACACAGAGAGGGGTAGACTAAGAGGAGCTACTTCCAGCAACTGGAATTACGGGTTCACACAGAACTCTGCAACTTCAAATTTTGTTCTCATGAACTGAAATGAAACACTGAATGACTATTTCCACATAAAAGCTTTTTTCTTTTGCAGTTTTCTCCCTTGGCCTCTCAAAAACTTGAAAAAATAAAAAGGGGAATAATATAATCATGCAAGGTCTGAGGAATAAAAGGCTAGCAAAGGACTTGATTAAAAAAAAGAAATCTAACAGTTGAAATATTACATTAAAAAAATGGTACAATGAAATAATATAATACCACCAAAACCTTTTAACCTTTTCACTTCAAAGAAAAACTGAAAAACCAATGAACTGATATTAAATTTATATTTTCATGAAACAGTATTTTTACTGGAAAAGCACTCTATCAGAAAATGTTGGCCCAGTTGTAAGAACTTTAAATATAGATTGCTCAGAAGAAAAAAATATTCTATTTTGTATTGTTGCCATTCAAGAGTAAGAGACATTTTACATATTAAGTCCTGACATACTTATTTATTCCTGTAAAAGGCTCCATTGATGCATTAGCCAGCTCACTCTATGCCATGAAATATGGCAAGTTTCCTATTCGGTTTTGAGTTACATTATTGTATAAGTTAGTAACTGGTTCGGGACTGAGAAATCTTCTGCAAGCACAAAATTGCTTAAGCCCAGCAGATTGATGTGGATGGAGCCAGTTTTATTTATTCCAGAGGAAATATTTTTTTGGTTATATCAACATAGCTGCGGCCCTTTACATTCCTGTTACATCCCCTGGGCATTTCAGAGTATTAACCATATTTTATGAGAGGTTTTAAGCTTCTGGATACTTTTGAAAGGAATATTCATCTTCACAAAACTCGCCTGCCAGTCGCTAGCAAGCTAATAGACACCATTCTTCAAAGAGGGAGCCTGAAAAATTTAGGTGAGTATTTTTCTTGAAACAAAGAGAGAAGTAGAGAAATACTTCACTTAAAAATTTACCGCAAATAAATCTTCCTAAGCTTTTAAGCCTACCGGGATTTCATCTGATAAAGGCCTACGAAATTCCTCTGGGCAAAATACTTAGGAATAACACATCAAATTAGAGGCAGTGGTACTTGCAAGGAAAGAAGGAGTAGTAGTGAGTAGCATTTGTCAGGAACGAACTGCCCATCGATTCATTAAAGGGGCAGCATTTCTGGCACCACTCCCAGAGCTGCTTTCTAGCATTGTTCCACAGTTGGAACATCAGAAAAATTCACCTTTTCCACCACCAGCAGCAGCATCTACCCATCCTCTTCATGGAGCGCTTGGCAAGCCTAAGGGACACTGAAGTCCCAACTCCACCCCTCACCTTGTCCCTCAGGAGTTTATCTTTCCAGGACTTCCCAGATCCTTACTCTTGATCCAGCCAACTGATAAACCTTGAAGATGGGGCTTGGGAGCCCAGGAACCACTCGAGTTCCAGACCATGATTTCTCCCTAACCAGCAATGACCTCTCTAAAGGAGTCCATCCAGCACTCAGCTCTTTTCTCTGAGAGGAGGTAAAACACCTCTGCAGCCAAGCAGAATGCTAGGTTTTAATACAAAGAAAATCAAATCTAAAATCCCAAATTCATCACAGAACAGTGACCTCTCTGTGCCAGCCCAGGTGGGGTTTTTGTGAAACCCTGGAAAGGACTTACACATTTTGAGCAGCTGTTGCCAGTACCTTTGTGTGGTACAAAGTACACAGCTCTGCCAAGGGTTTCTGTTCTCTCCAATAAATGATGCAATATTGTAGCAACAAATCACACTCATAATCACAGAAAAAGACTTAGAGCCACTGCTCTGCAACACATCATAAACTTTTTGCCAGTCTCCAGAAATTCACTCAAGGTGGGCAGCCCCTTTCCAGCTGTACTGCAGGAAAAAAACCCCACTTGCCATGCAGGTTTCAGCATCTACTTGTTTGCTGAGCTTGCAGGGACACAGCAGCTGGGAGCAGCCTGAGGGAAGCCAAGGTCCATTGTCTGGATCATGGCAACAGGCACAAGTGACAAGACAGGAGACTGGCAGCCTGAACAAGACACAGCTGTAAAACTGCTCCTCAGGATGATGTCTCAACATAGGAAGTGGCTGTTCCTATCTCCTCTGCCCTGCACAACAGTTTCCCCTCACACTTCTCCATTAAAAGAAACTCATTGAAAGTCATAACTGTTTTTGAGATCTTGGAAACTACTTTAAAAAAAAACCAAACCAAACCAAACCAACTTTTTCATGCTTTATTGGCGGGATGAGGTTAACAAGTAAGAACTCTGCTAAATGTTTAACTGAAAGAGCAACAAACAAAAAGCCCAGTGTGAATGATTCAACATCTACTGGGAGGCTTAACAAATTCATATGCCTTCAGTTTGAGAAATTAAAGCAACATGTAAATCAATTAATACATCCAGACATTTGGCTTTCTTTAAGCGTGTAGCCACATAAAACATCTCTCCTTCCACATACAAAATTCAATATAACAACCTCGTTATTTAACATCAGTTCATATATTAATTAAATAAACAAGAAGCAGCTTAGATCAGTACCGCAAACTGCCATCACTCAAAAACCCTGTACTTAACCCAAAACACCTTTGCTGAACAACAATAATCACTTCTAACATTCAAAAACAGCAAGAATCAACAAAGTCAAGTTGTTGGCTTCTGTTGTTGGGCTCACATTGATTGTCACCAACAAACTTCATTAACTTGTAACACCTTCACACAAAGTACTGTCGCATGTGATCTGTACAGATCTCAACTGAAGCAATCCTAGGTGAGAGATCAGGCTCACAGTGAGTGTGATCCCTGACTGAAATGCAGAAATCACCTACTTAAAATAGACCGAATTTCAGCATTTTAAGAATCAAGATGGGTGACCCAATTTCACCAGCCCTTGTGTACATCTGCACACCCAAAAAGCAGCCAAGGAAATATTAATATGCATAGCAACAAAATTTTCAGAACATGGAAGTAAAAAAAAAAAAAAAAATTGTTTTGTACCAAGAAATGAAGACTCAATTTCTTGACAAGCCTTTAGCCTATTCATGCTCCTTTGTACCATGCTACCATTTAGTATATTAATACTTAAAGTGGCAATAAAAACAGTTACTAACCTGTGGGAAGAGAGAGTAAGTTGCATTGTCGATTGTGACAGAATATAAAAATTCCCCGTCGAACCAGAGGTTCTTTCCCATCGGGGAGTTCAGCTTTGTCATGGCAAAGAGCTGCCCGGGGTCACAGCATTCTTCCAGCAGCTTCCTAGAGAAGGCAACCAAAAGAGAAAGTGTAGTATTAATTAGAGCCTTGGCACGCCTTCGTTAACGACCACCCCTCACATCTGAGATCCTGCCACTCTCAGATGCTCCAAAAGCCAACCTTCCCAGCCAGCAGATGAACCAGGGGTGACTCTTTTTTCCTTACAGAAAGGCTAGAAAAGCTGTTTTTTATTCAGAAAATCTTAGAAATAGATACTAAAAAATTTAAGTTTCCAGTCAGGGGGGCACAGAAATAAAACCCAGATTCAGCAAAAGAAACTCCATCCTGTACAACACATTTTGATGGATAAAAAACTGGTCTCCAACACATACAGAAATCAGTGAAGCTCCTTTGAAAATTAAATCTAAGATATATCAAAATTCAGTACCAAACCTTATTCATGAAGAGCAGGTTTCCTAAAACCCCATAGTTACATAACTTATGGATGGAAAAATTTGGCATCCCTCTCCAGTTACTGAATGTCCTTGTGTATATTCCCAGCAGTATTAGAGCCTGCCTTCTAACTCGAGTCCAACTTGAGTCATCCCAGTATGATAGATATATATAGAGAGAGACTGAATATTATACCTCTTAGTTTCCTTGCTGAAACTGCATATCCTCTTACACATTCATTTCCCAAAAATACTTACTATTCGGCTTGAGTAGAAATTTGAGAGCTGGTGAGCTGGTTGAAGGTTATATTGAGCAAAAGTTCTATATCACAGCAAACCCAGCAATTAATATCCTAAAATACAGAATGATGAAAAGGACTAAAGGTCCAGAATATCCCATCTTTCTATAGCCTGCATGGCAGCAGAAAGGTTGACACTCATACTGGTTTTTATATGTAATAGATGTATTTAAAACACGCATTGCAGAACTATGCCATTAGAGGATATTTTCATGTTATTATATACATTTTTCATATATTCTAAAGGGAATCCTAAAGAGACTGGCACAATTTCCAGTGGTTGCATAAGCCAAAAAACATCAATTATTAGTGACTACTAGAATGCTTGATGTAGTTGTTCTCCTCTGAGAAAGAGATTTTATTCAAAACTGTGAAGTCACTGACGGAAATTTAAATTTTTTTAGCATTTTTAAAAGTTTTACAGCTACTTTTCATTTCTAAAAACTAATACTTGAAAAAAACCCCTAACATTATTTTCCCCTTAAGTTCATAGCTTTCTGCAACTGTGCATTACTTTTCAGACATACTTCCAACTGAAAATCTGATGAGAACTGGAAAACTGTAGAGTAGATTTGTGATAATCTTAGCAAAAGAGGAAATGGCTCAAAAGTGAACTCCTCCATCTGCATAAATATTTCAAGAAAGATATAAATCACTATGCTCAGGCGTGTAAGTCAATTCCAAATTAATGATGTCTAGGACAATACTGTGGCTAGTTCTAGATCCCAAGGTCCTAGAAGATCAAGGAAGATGCAGACAGACTGGAGAGAGTCCAAAAGAGGGTCACCACAATGATCAAAGGGCTTGAAAATCTGCCCTATGAGGAAGGACTTAAGAAGTCAGGTCTCTTCTCCCTGGAGAACACAGGACTCAGGGGGGACCTCATTGCAATTTTCCAGTACTTTCCAAAATTAGAATTTCCAAGTGAAATCCTACAACTCACATCTTCTCTGGAAATCTGCAAGAAGCAGAACAAAAAATCCCAGATAATTTAGCATAAAATTATCCAGGGAGTGTTTTATATTAACGAATCTTTCCTTAGCCAGGCTAAACTGATAAGGAATAGTTCTTACAACTCCCTCCCTATTAGACTACATATATATACCTACTCTTTCCTGTTCCCAAAAAAGCATTATTTCAGTTCCCACTGAATCCTTCATTAATAAACCTATTATGAAAAGCAGTAGGCGTATCCTGGAAGGTCCACAGATAGGCAAGTCACTAGCTCAAGTATGCATCTTGGGCACTCATATGTGCTTTCTGCCAGAAAAGAATAATTATTAAAAGTCTCACATTATTCAGTCTCTGTTTCTGATCTAAATCCCAAAATTACAAAGCAAGAAAAGCTTCATAGGAAAATGTTCATTAAAAAACAGAATGGATTCAAAGGCAAACCTAGAGCAGGATACTTTGCAGGGTCAGGGAGACTGAACTGATTTGCTGAGCTTGATTAAAATGCACAACTGAAACGTTATGACAGAATTTGCAAAATTGCAGCAGCTTTTAGCCAAGAATCTCAATTCATTGCAAACATTTCTCCACTAGCAGGACACAAACAACATGCTTTTGTCTCAGTTATCTCCAATTCAGCGCAGACCTGGGTATGAGAGGACTTAAAGAATATTGGTATTGAAAAGGCACTGGAGGCCCTCAGGTCTGAGAGCACTTGAGGGACAAATCCCTACTAGTGAGAGAAGAGGGAGAAGAGTTACTCTGACAATCTCACTTCAGGCCTCTCGGATTTCAGCTGGAACTGGGCACCAAGCAGGTCATTAAGTACAAGGCAGCATCAGCACTGAAGTGGCTCTGCACACCAACTCAAGCAGCAACCTGTGCAAGAGGAGGGAGCTGAGCAGCAGTTTTGAGACCTGTCCCAGCCGTGCCCCCACAGTGTAACTGGTTGGGGTGAAATAAAGACGAGACAAAACAAAATAAAAATTTAGCTATGTTAGTGTGACTTTGTAAAATTGTAACTGCTTGAAAGAAGGTTGCTGCCCAAATTGTGGGCAATTAAGACAAAGCTAGCTTACGTAAACAAAAGGGACTGTCAGGGAAAGCAGGAAAGACTTTTAGCACAGCATTGCAAGGGAGACAGAAGAGGAGTGGGGGGAACCTAAGCTGTTTGAAATGATAAAACTTTATGTAACTATAATAATAAGAATAGGAGTTAGGCAACCAAATGTCTATTTAGATAAGGCAGACTTCATGAAGAGTGTATATGATAGATAATTTTTCAAACTCACTGTATAGAAAGCTGTTGTGTTTCTTTTCTCAGTGGACATGCACGGGGGGGGAACCCCCCTGCATTTCCCAGGCCATAATAAAAGTGTGCTTTATATTTATTGTTTAAGGATTTCTTTGAATCAGGGGTTACACCAGCAGACACTGCACACTGACAGAGGCACAGTGGTACCAAAGATCCTACAGCCACAATACCTTATTTTCATGGGTTTTACTCCAGGCTAACTCTGGTCTGATTCCATAAAGATCTGGTGAGTGGCTGTAGCAATGGAGTGCATTACTGGGATGCAGTGAAATCTGGGGACAACTAGGTTTTGCCTCCAAGCCCACCTCTAATGAAAGGGCTAATATGGGTGCACCCTTCTCTGCCTTAAAACAGAGAGGAAGCTAGACCTCCTTGCTAAATTCATAGATAGTCAGTGAGAGAGCTTATATAAAAATCCCAAACTACTTGTTCTTCATCTTAAGCTTATGAACTTCTCAGTTTGATTTCAGTTTGCAGCTAGGCAATGCTTAATCTCACCCTGGTTTGACCAAGGTCTCAGTCAATAATGACTTAGAGTACCTCCTTCAAACATCCCAAATGACAGCAAATATAATACCTAAAAACAGAAATGGGCAATTCCATAGCACAGGTGGTCAGCCAGGAAGTTACAGCCCTTTATGTATCTCTTCTGCAGAGGTGTCCTGCCTCCCCAGCACACCCACCACTTCTCCAGCTGCCTTTGCTGTGCTAAGTGCCACCAGCACTGTGCAAGGGAGGGTGAGCAAAATTATTCCTCTCAATGTTTTCCTTCTCAACCCATGCAAGGGAGAGGTACCACACCAATGAGGAGAAGCTCAGACTGACAGGGAGAGCCACTTGTCAAGCAGCAACAACAGCAAGGCAGCTTCATGAAGCTTCCCCAGGGAACTGGTGGAGTGGTGGAGTCACCATCCCCAGAAGTGTTCAAAAAACAAGAAGACATGGCACTTCACAATATGGTTTAGTGGGCACAGTGGTATTTCGTTGCAGGTTGGACTTTTGTGGAGGTCTTTTCCAAATTTAATGATTCAATGATTCTGTGAAGGAGGACTGAAGGCTTAAGCCTGATCTGAACAGGACTCCAAACAAGTCTGCAGAACAGTTCCCCAAGAAGGATGATCCGGTGCACATGGGATGGGGAGAGGGCAGGAGCAGCTACAGCCTGATGCTGCTCTTGCAGGTCCCAGCAAGTGTCAGCAGTCCTCCCACTAAATAAGGGTAGCATGGCTTTAACAGCAGTAATAAAATAATGACTGAGGTTCAGGTTCAAGTTTGAGACAAAAACAATTTGTCAAATGAATTGCTTTAGTCAGACTCTGCTCAGCTGCCTGGATTTAGCTGATATCACATTAACCTTTGTCCAAAACAAAACCTGGATCTGAAGCACAACCCCACAGTATTTGGGCTGACATAAACCTCCTTTTCTTTACATTGCAGTTCACATTCACCTCAACTTCACATGTTTTGCTTTGAGATCAAATGAATCTGAAGGCTCAGAGAAAAAAAATTAATCTGCCTTCGGAGTTTCAGCTGGTGTCAAGCCAAAACCATCATGTCTTCACTCACAACCAGGGATTTGTGGCACAGCTGAAATCCAGGGTGGTCGCTTGGGTTCACTAGGGAAGATTTGCACAGCTCCATTTCAGTGCAATTGCTGAAGGGCTTCCATTCATGTATCCCCCAGTAGAGGCAGGAGGACCTACCAAGAACCTCGTGGAGTCCCCAAACTAAACCAACACCTATTTCCCAGCATCTGCATGCTTAGGGACACTGAGCTAACATCCCTATTGGAAATACTTGTAACTGGGGGTTAGCTTGAGGCTTTGAGGTTTTCATGGTGTTTAAAGTACCTTACTATCCAAGGCATACTAGCTTCCACCTTAGGCAGGGCAGAAGACAGCAGGCGTAAGGAAAAAAAGTGGAATGTAATGTTCTTATTTTATCAGGGCAGATATCACACACAGCAAACTCTTGCTCCAAACACCCAACTGCCTCTGTATCAAAGCTGTGGGTAAACATGATATAAATTCATTAGGGAGAATAAGGGAAAAGGCT